CAAAATTATAAGACTTGTAATTTAACAAAGTAATAATAAAATAAATAAAGGTGGCGTTCAATTGGGTCGGCCCAATCTGGAAACCCAATGAGCGGCCCATCTAATTCATATAAAATGTTCCTTTAGAAGCACCATGGCTCATTTCTAGCTTCCTTCTTCATCAGTTGTCTTTGTCCGCAAGAAAATCACAACAGAGTTGCAGAATCCTACTCCGGAGTCCCAAGTCTAACCTTGCAATCTGATGGCGCCAGACCCTGAGGATGAGATCAAGGACGAGAAGAATCCTCGCCCTCTCGATGAGGACGATATAGCTCTTCTCAAGACCTATGTATGTTCATTTATCAAAGCTTCTTTGTTTTCTACTTTATAAACCCTAAATTGGTGCACTATTTTCCTATCCGTTTCCTGTTTTCTACCCCATTTATACGTTCACATCTCGTTATCGGATTAGATCCGGCAACTTTACTAGAATCGCGTTGCTTATGATGTGCGCTCCTAGTTCTGATAATTCGTCAGTTTTAGTGTCTGTATTCCTTCACCTGGAAGAATTTTAAATGTGAAGTAAGTTCACATTTGATCCCCGAGTTGAAATGTCTGGATAATCTGTGAATCAGAGGGCTGCCATCTGTAGGCAGTACGATAATTTATGCACTATTGAACATCTCAGCTAATTCTTCAGGGCAGTTTTTTCATACAATTAGGTCTCTGAATCTCGATTTTCTTCTTATCCAAGAACCTATGTCCATTGGGTTTTATGTCAAGGCTCATCTTTTAGACAGTGGAATGGCATATTCTTATTTCTCAGTTTTTCGTCTATCGAAATGAGTAGTTTTGGTGTATCCTCAGTTTTGCTCTTGTAACAACACCATCCTCTTTTGCAGGGTTTGGGACCTTATTCAACCTATATCAAGAAGGTAGAGAAAGAAATCAAGGATATGGCAAAGAAGGTCAATGATTTATGTGGTATGTATGCTTCCCGTTCTGTATTAGAAACCAGCTCATATATTTTGCTACATATACGTGAATAATCTGTTTATCCCTGAAATTAAATATCTGGATGGATTGCATCACAGGCATTAAGGAGTCCGACACCGGTTTAGCAGCTCCCAGCCAGTGGGATCTTGTATCCGATAAGCAAATGATGCAGGAAGAGCAGCCTCTTCAGGTGTGATCTCAATGACGTTTGGATACACTTTTTTGTGGTTTCTAGTTTCTGATGCAGCAATATGTTGTCAATCAGGTGGCAAGATGCACAAAGATCATCAATCCAAATTCTGAAGATGCCAAATATGTTATTAATGTGAAGCAAATTGCCAAGGTTAGTTATTATTTTTGTGTCGTATAATGCATGCACTCAAAGTCAGTCAAGGCATTCGTTTTAAGTGTGGTTGTGGAGGAAAGGGAAAAGGAGGGACTTACTTATTTGCAGTCTCACTTTATGTTTATGTCATTATTTCGTTGATAGTTTAGACTTTAAGAGTTTATTATCCACATTTTTTTCATCAAACCTGCAGTGGTTCTCTAACTTCCTTTACTTTTGTTACGTAGTTTGTAGTTGGACTTGGTGACAAAGTTTCTCCAACAGACATAGAAGAAGGCATGCGTGTTGGGTAAGGTTTTGGATGTTCTACAAGGTGTTCTCAGCATCTTGTATTGGTATAATCTGACAGTGTTCAATTCTTTACCATGCTGTCTGTCTTATACTTAAATTTCAACTATATGATAATAAGCTCAGGATGATATTTACCTCAAGACAGTAGCGTATTTTATCATATGAGCATGGTTATGATGTGTCATGTTTATATTGCTTGATTTAGGAATAATCACCGTCATTCTTCACTGTTATATGTTACACAATGCTCTTTGGGAATGGTAGAATAAGTGATGCATCTTCTTTAAAAAAATCTCTTGCTTTTGGTGGCATTTTCTTGTTTTTGTACATGCAAGTATGGTATTGGTCTTAAAACGTTGACATTTATTCTATTCTTACAGTGTTGATAGAAATAAATATCAGATTCAAATTCCTTTGCCTCCCAAGATTGATCCAAGTGTGACCATGATGACGGTAGAAGAAAAACCAGATGTGACCTACAACGATGTTGGTGGATGTAAGGAGCAGATAGAAAAGATGCGAGAGGTGTGTAGAAAATTTTTATCTGCATTTGCCTTTGAGTAGTTACAGATTTGCCCAATTATTTCCATTTTTATAATTCTTAGAAACTCAAGTTTTTGTGTTATTTTTTTAAAAATAAATCTGTTACTTGTAGGTTGTTGAGTTACCTATGCTTCATCCTGAGAAATTTGTAAAGCTTGGAATAGATCCTCCAAAAGGAGTTCTTTGCTATGGTCCCCCTGGAACAGGCAAAACACTTCTAGCACGAGCTGTAGCTAACAGAACAGATGCCTGCTTTATTCGTGTTATTGGAAGTGAACTTGTTCAAAAATACGTTGGTGAGGGAGCTCGGATGGTCAGAGAACTATTCCAGGTTGGCTTTTGCTTCATACTTCGTAGTTTTTCTTAGTTCATCTAATAAATCAACGGTGTTCATACTTCTGCATTATTACTTATATGTTGTTCTGTACCCTAGATGGCACGTTCCAAAAAGGCTTGCATTGTGTTTTTCGATGAAGTTGATGCCATCGGAGGTGCTCGCTTCGATGATGGTGTCGGTGGTGACAATGAGGTTCAGCGCACAATGCTTGAAATTGTGAATCAACTTGATGGCTTTGATGCACGTGGAAACATCAAAGTTCTGATGGCAACAAATAGGTAAGTCATTTTACTAGTGGCCGATCTTGGATATTTCTTAGACACACTACTTGGGTTGTATCTGGATGTATCATCTGCTAGTCATTTTGGTTCTTCATTGCAAAATAAATGGGCAACATAATGATCCTAATTTCAGATTAGTGATATGAAAATGACATAAACTAATTTCCATCTCTCTTTCAGGCCTGATACACTTGATCCAGCCCTGTTACGACCTGGAAGGCTGGATCGTAAGGTCGAGTTTGGGCTTCCTGACTTGGAAAGTAGGACACAGATCTTTAAAATCCATACAAGAACCATGAATTGTGAGAGGGACATCCGGTTCGAACTCTTGGCTAGGCTTTGCCCGAATTCTACAGGTAAAGACTTGCAGCATTACCTTTTCTGTACCATGTTCGGATAAAAGATGGTATCTGAAGTACTAGAAATCACATGTCAATGTCCAATTATCCTAATTTCATAATAGGGCAGGGTTGAAATTCTTAAGGGCAAATCTTAATCCTACCCTCCTCACTTCTCGGCTTCGCCAATTTTTGTTTCTCGTTCCGACATAAGGTGTCTCTATTTTGATCTTAGGTGTACATATCCTTCCCTCTAAGACATTTTTACATGTTACCAGCAATACTCTCGTAGGCTCCTGCCATTCAACCAGTTAATAACCACGAGTAGGCCTTGCCTATTGTACTGAAACAATTTGTTTTTCTATATACGGTATGTCTCTCGTACAGGGGCGGATATCAGGAGTGTCTGCACAGAAGCTGGAATGTATGCGATTCGCGCTCGAAGGAAGACGGTGACAGAGAAGGACTTCCTTGATGCAGTGAACAAGGTGATCAAGGGATATCAAAAGTTCAGTGCAACCCCCAAGTATATGGTCTACAATTGAGGCTCTGAAGTTCCCCTTCATTCTTTCAGAGAAGAAAAAACATGGGGAGGTGTACCAAGTAATCAATCATCATTCATTTATCTTCTGTACAACTCTTATTGAACTGCACCGCTTTTTTTCTGCGACAGAACCCTTTCTCCCTTTGTTTGCATAATTGTGGTTTTGGTATAACCTTTTATCTTTATCCACTTTGCTTGATACATCATCCATCCTTCTTTGGGCTAAACCAAATATGAAGCTTTTGATTAGCACGCTACATTAGTTCATAAAGCATTCCAAGTTATTTAGTGGAGGATTGCTTTTGTGGTACGTTTCTTCTGGGCTGGAGCTGTTCAATTACAAATTGGGTCTTCAAATTTTTAAGTTTATAATTTTTTTTTTTTTTGGGACAAAAATTAGTTTATTCCCTCTAACTTCCGTAAGTCCAAATATATAACTATATTAAGTTGAGAGCTGAAAGGTTTTTTTTTAAAAAAAATTGATATAGCTCCCAAAGGTTAAGACTATAAACTAATTTTCACTTAATTTTTGTACATCTAAAGAATTGTGTCTAATAGACCATTAAATGTTCGATTTTATATTCCACAACTTTGAAAATCCAATGTCCAATAAATTCCTATATGAAAATTAAATTAGGTGCCTAATAATAATATCATTTACTTTGACCTATTTAACACATAGGTTTGAGTCTAAGAAACAAGTAAATTTTTAAAAAAAGTGATTTGATTCTTTGGCCCATTTGATAAAAAAAATAGAAAGTTTATAATTACTTATTAGAATAAAATTTAATTGAACCATTCATAAAATCCTACCAAATGTTGAAGCAAATAGGCTTATGATCCCATCCAACGTAAAAATAAAAAAAAAAATAGTTTGAGAGATCGAGAGATCGAGTGAAGGTTCTCTTGTGATTCGAACCATCTTCTTCTCTATATCATCAGTAAAATATTTGTGTAAACTGTCCATTGGACTTGCAAATTAAATTTAAAAAGTTCCCCTGTAATATATAACCTGATATGGTTCCTATGATCTCACTAGATGTTCATCAAGCTTTAAGTAAATATGATGCAAGATCAAACCCAACCCTATCCTGATTGCATACCCCAGTGGAGCTTGGACTGGGGCAAGAGAGAAAGCTCTGCTTGAAAAAAGTTCCTAAACTTGAACAAACAGAATGGAATTACAAAGAACCTTATCCAATAATGAGCCTAAATATCAGTCTCTCAAGCATTCTCTCTGAGTACATGGATTTGGAAAATTCTAGCAACCTAATATCAAAGGTTGTTCATCACAAATCGACATCGATTGCACTACTAAGAAATGTTCACAGCAAAAGCAAACAACAAACAAACATTATAACAGTATTTCATCATATACCTCGATCTTTGTTGTTGCTCTGGTTGGATACAATATATGATTTGTCAGTCTGACCACATAAGCAAGAAATCAGTGCATAAATCAAATTCATTTTCAGTGATGCATTGCATGGGCATGGAAAATTCAAGTATGAAAAACAATAACCAAATCTACCACAATTTTAAGCACTAACTACAAACATACTGTTGTTTAGTCTACCGCTGTATATTGAGCATGGTCTTGGCTTCACTCTGTTCCTCCAACAGCATGTCACTAGCGTACTTACTCAACAGTTCCATCTTCTTCTTCTCCAAAACCATCTTTTCAATCTCCTTTTCATCAGGTAATGGCACATGCACCACAAACTCCCTCTCCTTGTCCAAATTCTCCTTCATTTCTCTCTCTCTCCTCCTCTCTTCTTCCACAACTTCCTCCTCCTCTTCAAATAGCACCTCCTTCGCTGCAACGTTCACCACGCTAGCTACCTCCCCACTCTTTACTGCCCTCTTCGCTTCCTTCCTTATCTCTTCCATTCTTTGCCACTCTTCAACTGCCTCGGCTCTAATGCGCTCCTCACTTGGACCTTCCACTCTTTCCAAAACCCCATCCTCATCATCCCTATACCCATAGTAGCTTGCATCAATCCTCTTGTATATATCATAACGAGTCCTACGCTTTCTCAGCTCAGGAGGCTTCTCAAACAACTCCCTCACACCTGGTAACTTCTTAGCAGCACCAAAATACCGATACCCAGGACCACGACCACTGGGGTTTGGAACATCAACAATATTCCCCTCTAAATCAGTCATTTTGGCCGAGTACTTGGAATAATTGGGGCCACCTAACTCAACTATACGACGTTCCCAATGTGACTTCTCTCTAATAAGCTTGTTAATTTCATCATTGAGATCTCGCAAACGGTGCTCACCAAGGCCTTCATTTTGGATCTCTGCAACCTTGCGACCAATTTCACGCATAATTTGTTGACGCCATTTGTCAGCTTCTGCAAGGTCACGACACTCAGATGCAAGGTAAGGCCGGCGTTCCTTGGGTTTCTTCTTCTCCTCAGCTTTTAAGGCTATGAAACGATTAAGCATCGACTGGGCCTTCTCCTCATTTCGAGCCATCTTATCCTAACCTGAAAATCTGCACCATATATTAGGAGAAATTGAGCTTTGTTTGATAAAAATTGAACTACCTTTTGTAAATTCGACTAGGGAACCAAGTTCCAGTGCACCCTCGTTTATCCCAATTTAAAGAAAGTACCAAAGTTCACAAGCACTGGCTTCGCTCTAATGAAAAACAGTGAATATATCAATCCATCCACAGTGAATATATCAATCCATCCAAAACCTAGATAAGGATACGAACTAAGGAAAAAATACCCACAATTTAACAAGAACTAGAAACCGGATAATAAAAGGGAATCCAACCAATCTATAATTCTTTATAAGTACGAAAACTTAGATGCAAGACGGAATTTCTTATATAATTGTAAAAAAACAGAAGCAATCATCTGTAGCAAGAAGAACCAGTGCGCCTAAGTCAGTTTTTGAAGGAAAAGAGCAATTTAGAATTTCACCAAAAAAATAAAAACAAACAACTCACCCATTTACTATATGGAAATCAGTTGTTAAACCAACCAAAAAAGAGGAGCAAAACATAAAACCAGTCACCATGCACTTGTTTCAGTTCATTCAACCAATAATTGTTCCATTTCCTTGACAACCCCCAAATATATTTGTTATCTATGACCTGCTAACAGATCTGTTCATTGCGAGAATAAAACTAGCATACAACTTGGAATTTATCTAAAATTCATAGAGGCTCTTATCGGAAAAACATTTCAAAAGTAATCCATTCAATGATCAATCAATAAATAATGAAAAAGTAAATCCGTATGACTATGTTGGCAAAACAGCCGTATCTGAGTCACCACAACCAGTTTGCTCACTTACAGCTTCATGTCAACTACACGCATCCTTTAAGTTCTAGGGCAACTGAATCAACGACCAAATGACAAACTACAAATAGTCTACAAGTGAATCGCCCCAGTTTTCAATTGAGAAATATTCGACAGACGAAAAACTATAAATCACAAAAAATTTATACAGCGTCATTTCGAACTGACCATCTAGCTTTCAATGAAACATCTTAAATAGATATGAAACCACTGACCAAATGGCCAACTGTATGTATGCATACATATGAACTGACCAACTGTATGTATGCACACATATGAAACCACTGACCAAATGGCATACTATTAATCCAAGTAAACCAATCTTTAACAAGTTAATTGACGATGGGATAACAAACAGACAAGAAATTCGGCCTTGAATCTTCAAAAACAAGAGCATCAAGCAGACAATAAATACCAAAAATTGTCTATTATCCGAGCATAACAACGTCATAACATCTGCACAACCACAATAACTACATGAAACTATATCTGATACCACAGCTATAAAGCAGGCACACAACAGATACCGAGAGAGAAAGACAGAAGTAGAATCCTTGCGGAGAGAGGTCAAGGAAAGAGAATGGAGACCAATAGACGAAGAAAGAAGACAGTAACGTTGAAGAAGATGGAGATTGAGACAAAGGATCAAGATATGGCCGCTAGGGTTTAACTACCAGGCATCTATGGTTTTCGGATCGAAATCTGAAGGGAAATTTCAATGAAGAGGAATAACAAAAATCAAATGAAGCTCAGGAAAACCTACCTGATCCTGAAGAATTCGGGCGTCAAACAATTTTCCGATCAAAATTTCGCCGCCAAGTAGCACCTGAAGAATCACCGATTCCGTGTGTGAAAGATATTTTCTATTGCATCAAATAATGGAGCGCAAAAGCCCTCCCGCTCGATCGCCAAAAGTTGAACAAATTATATATTAATTTTCTTCCAAAAACTTTCAATTTTAATTCTAAGATTAATTAAATATTTCAATTTTTACTTTTCTAAATTAACACGAATTTATTGATATTTTTAAAATGCATTTTGAGTTACCATATAATTATACGTATATTTATTTAATTTTATAATTATTTATTCTCTAATAACTATTGAAAATAATAAATTATGAATTAAAATAATAATAACAAATAGATAAATGTTTTACAAATTATCCTTATATATTTACTAAAATAAAAATTTAAATAAATGGCTCTAACAATTTGATCGAACCCAACTAAAAAATTTATGATTAAGGAGTTGAGCTTGTTTTATTATTTAATAATTATTATTGAAGTTGAAAAATTAAATTAGGTTTAAAAAATATTTCAAATCCTTAATTTTTATAATTTATTTACTAATTTTAACAGCAAATGTAAATAAATAAATGGGGCTTATTAATTTCAATAATATTTACTTACGTGTAAATTAGAAATGTCATTAAATTTATTTTTCTAATATAAATTAGCTTTCATGCGAGTCTATTAATACAATTGTCTCGAATATAACAAAAATAAATTATTATATTTAAAATAAATTCAACCATGTTTTCGCTAATACACTAAGTTATTATATAATAAAGTTTTGAATATCTTCGTATTCTTCTGTTGCTTCTAAAATCGAGAGATAATCATAATTTAAAGATACGAAATTTATTGCATTTTCAAAGGCTAGCTAGTGTACAAGTTGAAACAATGACTTGAGCCTAAAAATCATTATAGCATTAGCATATCAAATCAATAAAATAATGGAGTGACTGATGTTGGAAAGTGATGAAGACTCTATCTTTGGTAGTTGAAGTACCAATTAAAACAATTTATGTATGCCTTATTTTCTTCCATTTGTATTTACTAGTTTTATTGGTTGTTGTAGTTTGTAGATGAATTTTTTGGTCATCTTTTTAGACTATTTAAATGCATGTAATATTATACGTTTTTTGCGTTATTCTTTTTCAAACCCTGCTTCAAATTTGTTGTTTAAAGCGATTTATTGAATTAGTTTTGATCCAGTTAATTCTGTAGTAAGTCGTCTTGGAATCTAAAAGTGACCATCATAGATTCAAAGTTTGATATAAAGCTCTTGGTTGGAATCAATTTTTTAAGTTAGTTTTTTTTTTTTTTTGTAACGTTTGCAAGGATTCCAGAATCACCTCTAATTTTGCAAAATTGAGCATTGTTAGCGCTTATCATGTTAATTGTCAATGTACTAACAAGATAATATTTTTTTAAATAAATTATAACACCAAAATAAATTATAACTTATAACGTACTAACAAAACACGATTACCCAACAACAAAATAAATTATCACGTTAAAAAACAAGATTGAAAGTATTAGCAATGAGGAAGAATAATAAAATTATTTTAGATTGTGGTAAATAGCTCCCGAGATTATAATGGTTATAAATAGATAGCTTATCTTTAAAAATTGATCACCATAATTTAAAGTTGAATTTATTGTCGGGATAAACACGTTAAATTTTGGGGTCAATAAGTTAGATATTAGAAGTAGAAGTGTACATGGTACACATGGGGCGGAGGTGACGTATTATAATAATAATAATATTATTATTATTATTATGATTATTGTTATTGTTAACAAATGAAATTAACAATAAAGGTTAACGTGCCATTTTTTAAATTAAATAATAATAGTTAAAATATAATAGAGTAGTAATAATAATATTATAAAAATTTACGCACCCCTATCATTCTCGCTCTCCTTTGAAAACCCATCCCACGCCAGATAAGAAAACGTTGGAAGATATATTTTTTAATTAAAAAAAACAAATTAAAATTATAGGACATTAGATAAGGATAATGTACATGATTTAAAATTTTAAAAAATGTGTTAATTTTTCCAAATATTATCAACTAGTTTGTGTGGCTAGAACTTGTACACGTTTCTCCACGTAATAGTGGCTGAATAAATCATTTTATTTTAAGGCATTTAATTGTGGTCCCCTGTGCAGCCTCGTATGATTAAAAAATGTGAATCTAAATTCCATGAGCATTAATTTATATAATAATCGGACTACAAAATCCTTGAGAAATTCCGGTTCCCGTCCACGTATATTATTATGCTTCACCGGAAGGTCTTTACGATTAAAATACAAAACGACGCCGTTTAAACTTGTGCTGAAAAATACCCAAAATAACAGAGTAAAAGTACCCGAAAAAACCCCGCCTACCATTCTTTCAAACTTCTTCCGCCGTACCGGAAAAATCCACCGCCGTCTGTAACAGTCCTCCGGTTAACCTGCTCAGATATCGAAGAATAGCTTCTCAAACGCCTTCATATGTTGAGTCTGGAGAGAAATGGGCACCGATAAGCTGCCGTCGTCGGAAGCACTCGGGATTATAAACGACAATCCCTCGTACGCAATTCCGCCAGGGCCCATAAAAACCGGCCGGCCCCACCCGAAATCGGCGTCGTGAATCGGAAGCCGGACCCAGCTCGTGATCCCCAAATTCGGATTCTGGAAAGTATGAGCCCCACGAACCAACGCCGATAAGTCCGGCTGAACCTCGAGATAGTCCAAAGCTGATCTCAAATAATCGTTGTCCATCCGAATCAAAGCTTCGTGGATCTTGCTAGCGGCGAACCATGTCGGTTTCGACATCAGTTCCCCTGCGACGGCTACCGGCGTCGCCGTGAAGATTACGTTACCGAAGTAGCCGTTGGGAAGCGGCGGGCGTAACCGGGCACGGCCGTCGGTGGGAATGTAGAGCTTAGTGTCCTGATCCTCCGGCAGGTTACGTGCCTTGCACGTGCACCGCCAGACGTGGGCAGAGAGCATCTCGTAGGAGCTGTAGTTGGTAGTGTTGCCGTTTTCCTTGGATTTGGCTTTGAGTAGATTGAGCTGCTCGCGGCTCAATTTGAAGGTGGAGACGGTGGTACCTTCTGGGTCGGGTTCGACCGGGGTCTTCATGGGCGGAGCTGGTTGGTATTCGACATGTCGAAAAATTGGTTGAGGTGGCTCCCGTGCTCGGAGATGGCTCCGGTCGATGAATGGTGAGAGCTTCAGGTCGAGGCCGCGCGACATGTCGGACCAAGTGTTGATGAAGTGGAGACCAGAGAAGCCATCGGCTAGGTGGTGTTGCATCCCAACGCCGAGTGAAACTCCTCCGCATTTGAAGTGAGTCACCTGCACACAACAAAATCAAACCGATTGTTCTATGCTGAGAATTAGAGGAGTGAGTCCCATATCAGCTAATTATTAAATAATGAAGCTCAAAAAGTAATGCAACGACAAATAGAAACGAGGCACGGAATGTGTGGTACCTGTAACACCAACAACGGATACGATTCGATTCCGCCGGAATAATCGACGGCCGGAATAAGTTGTCGGAGCCGCAACGTCGGCGTGAAATCACCGAAATCATCGATAACCGCCGTCGTCTCAGCCTCGACAAGAAGCACACCTTCGGCGTTACAATCGATCTCGATTCGACCGTCCTCATCGCGCCGTAACCGTGCAGCCATTGGATAGAACGGCACCAGCGCCTTGCTTAGGCCATCCTTGAGAATCTGACTGTCGAAGAAATTGGAAGCACCGGTTGGTCGGTAGAAGTAGACGCTCGGCGTGTGGATACTCGGCACCACCAGATCCACGTTCGAGTTCCAGAGACTCCGGCGCGGTGTCTCCGCCGCCGGTCTCACCATCGTCGAATCCTTCACGGTGATAATCATCTTGATCGTTTTATCAGCTGATCGGCACCGAGAAACTGAAATCAACAATGACGAACGACGCCCTGAGATAGTACCAAAGGGAGTGAGCGTATAAATAAAGGAATTGGAAACCGACACGTGTCCTTTTTACGCCAAGCGTTTTCTCTGTGGATAGAATATTTGGAAACCGACACGTGTCCTTTTTACGCACAAGCGTTTTCTCTGTGGATAGAATATTTGGAAACCGACACGTGTCCTTTTTACGCACAAGCGTTTTCTCTGTGGATAGAATATACAGACGGGAGTTAGGTAGAGACGACAACCTAACTGCACCCAGATTAAACGGCGCATTTTCGCGTCTCGGCAGAGCCTTATTTTTTAAAATTTTCATCTATTTTATTAAAAATACTCCTTTTAAATTCTAGTCCGTAACTATATGGACTAGAATTAAGATTCATTAGAGTACTATATTTAGATATTTTAAATTACATTAATTAAAATATAATACATAGTGTTTCTAACCGTTTTTTAATTAATAAATAATTAGACATAAAATTAAGCTCCGTGCCTTCTAGGAGGCTCAACTCCTTGGAGTTCTTTGTTTGACATTTGAGGATTTACCAATCTATTGACGTGACTAACTTCGTGGCCTTGATACCATGTTAAAGGAACATGATATTGGATGATGAAAGTCCCCCATCAACTAATTTAGGGAATGATCATGGATTTATAATTTAAAGATACTATCTCCATTGGTGTGAGACCGTTTGGGAAGCCCAAAGTAATGTCATGAGAGCTTATGCTCAAAATGAACAATATCATACCATTGTGGAGAGTCGTGTTCGTCTAACTTGGTATTAGAGTCATTCATCTAACCTGGTAGATTGGTAAATCCTCAAATATCGAACAAAGACTCCAAAAGAAAAGGAGTCGAGCCTTGATTAAGGGGAGACGTACTTTATTCGAGGGGAGTATCATTTCTTAAATTAGCGACGTGAGACTTATAAACCTAGGATTATTTCCTAAATTAGTGTCCACGTGGGACTAGTTAAACATTTTTTTAATTAGTAAATTATTAGACATAAAATTAAATTTTGTGTTGAACTGGATCATTAAATTTTATATATAATTTAATTTTTTTAAACTTGATTTATCAAAAATAAAATTGAAATTTTAAAAGCTTATTAAAATTTAAAATTTTGAAAATTTAATAGACATGAACGAGATAAGGTTGTAGTGTGGAGGTGGGTCGAGGGGCGTGGGGGTGTAAATGCAATGAAATTTATGCCCAATTTGCAGTCGGATGGCAATTGGTTTGACACGTGTCAAGTTGGACCCGTATTAAATAAATTTGGTGGCATGGTATTGCTTGAAAAGGAAACATCATAAAAGAAAAAAAAAACAATAATAATTTAATTGTAGTATTTCCTTTAATTTTAAGGTGAAGTATTTACGAGGACCCGCTATATTCCCATAATAATTACGATAAACTAGGAAAGGAAAAGAAATTGTACATCGCAGTCTCTTTGCCTCAATTAGCTACAATAATGTTGGATGTGACAAGAATTTTAGAATGGATAAAATTCTTACCTTTATATATTGAAAAAAAATGTATATTTATATAATCTCGAGCCTTTTTTTTTTTAGGATTCAACCTGTTAGATGAATGACTCTAATACTATGTTAGACGTACTCCCCACAATGGTATGATATTGTGGAGATAGTGTTCCTAAATTATAAACCCATGATCATTTCCTAAATTAGTCGATGTGGGACTTTTATCATCCAACACCTCTCCCTTAATCGAGGCTTGACTCCTTTTCTTTTGGAGTCATTTGTTCGACATTTGAGGATTTACCAATCTATTGGCACGACTAAGTTCAGGGCATGCTTCTGATACCATGTTAGACGAACACGACTCTCCACAATGGTATGATATTGTCCACTTTTAGCATAAACTCTCGTGTCTTTGCTTTGGGCTTCCCCAAAAGGTTCCGGAGAGAGTATTAATTGATTATAAATCCATGATCATCCCCTAAATTAGCTAATATAAGACTTTCATTATCCAACACAACCCAATTTCTTCTTTATCTTCTCTGTTCCATAGATCAATCATTTTGTCTTTGCTCATATTTTGTCATATAAATAAATAAATAACTATCTCATATGTTAAATTTACTTTATTTTTAATAATAATAAAAAAAGCTTACAAAATATTTTCCGTTAAAAAAAAAAAAAAAAAACTTATCCATCATATTTATTACTATTATTATTATTCTTGTAACGATCTTATCCTATATCATATGGTCTATTGTTTAATTCAGGATATATATATATATATATATATATATATATATATATATATATATATTTATTGTGGCTGGAGTTGAGAGGCTTATTTTTTTTAAAAGAAGAGATTGGTTGGCACCGACTCATTTATTGGCTATGCAAATTGCATAAAAATCTTAAATTTTATTTTTATTATTTAAATAATGGTGTCTCGGATAACATTTTATTTTATTTTATCTGTAAAAAAAAAAAAAAAAAAAACAACTTTTTCTTTGACAGTTTAGGATAATAAAGTTTCTTTTATGCTATAGTTTAAATACCTTTAATTTTCATAAAGTAAGACATTTAGAAGACCATTTAAAATATCATAAATAATTAATTATTATCCAAATTCTTTATATATTAAAGTTCATAGGTTAAAGTATTATAAAATTTAAGATAAGGACTAAATCATACAAAATTCATGAAATAAATTATTAATATTTGTTAATAAATTAAAAAAAAGCTATTTAAAATAAATGTTTTATATGACAAATTTGGTAATTTCCTTGTTTTGGTCCAAACCCATTAGAGCCTGTGATCCAAAAAAGCCCACGAGTGAAAAGGTGGCCCAATTCCTGATATGTTTGGGCCTTAATGGGCTGAAATTTAAAGATGTATGGGCTGCACAGCCCATAATTTGAAACTGAATACATGTGTAGGACACGTGCCGTACCTGCTTCATTTCAGTCGGAAAATATCGTGTATTGAATTGATTTATCTTCATACAATAAATAATTAAAACCCAACGGAAGGGTCTAACATTTTCGAAGGAACAAAAAAAAAAAAAAAAAAAAAAAAAAAGACAACACTAAAATATAGTTCTCTCTTCTTCCTCTCTCCGCTGAAACTAGTGTTCGAAGCGCTTGGCGGGTGAGGGGTTCCCTCAATTTTTGTTTGTTTGCTTTCGTTTCTTCTAGTTTGTTTTGTTTACTGAATCTGATTGAATTTGATTGTGGAGGTATTTCTTGATTTTCCGATCTCTGTTTCTTTGGAGTTTCTTTCCGTTTGTATGATCTGTTTGTTTGCCAAGAATTTGTGGAGGCTTCATTCTTCGGTCGCTGTTAGTTTTGATGTTGATTCTGACTTGATTTGGAGGGAGTTTACGAAGTATGTATGGATGTATGGATGTATGTTGTATGTTGTATTTTCATTTGTTTGAATCTTGTGTCTGCTCTGAAACCTAAACGACAGTTTGGAAGATGGAGGGATGGTGTTGTGAGAAATGAACATTTCGATGTGTTTTAGTTGGAAGTTCGGAACCTATTGGTTTTTGTATTATTTTTCTTGAGAAAATGCATTGGGACGGACGGATACCGTTTTACTCCGATTAGTCTCTGACAATTAGATTGATCCTTTCAGTTTTTCCCCCTTCCTCTTGGAAATGATGTGAACTCTGCCTACAAATGATTTTTCTGTGAGGGGGTGACCTTTTGGTGATTCATGGTTTTTCTCTAATTCCAGATTGAAAATGGGGATATATCTGAGCTCCCCCAAAACAGAAAAGGCCTCGGATGATGGTGAGAACGAAAGGCTTCGGTACGGCCTTTCCTCAATGCAAGGGTGGCGTGCAACCATGGAAGATGCTGTGAGTTTTCCTTCTACTGTATCCGTTCCCTTTGACGTTGAAGTCTGTGCCATGTTATTTACTCAGTTGTTCATCATGCACTCTATTGCATACTGCCATCCATTCAAATTAATATATCATAGGATGAACCTGCTTTGGACTATATTATCTGTAGGAAGTTGCAATGTATGCATTTTGAAAACTTCTGAATAGAATATTGCTATTCGGTTTATCTTTTTGTAGTGGTACTGTATGTGCTGTCACCTGTGTTCTTTATAAGCACTCCTCTTGGTGCATTGGAACAGAGAGTTTGCATCATAAGATCTACAATGCCATGAAAATTTGGGACTTTAGTTTTATGTTTAACAACTCTTGGAATTGGGTGGAGCAAAATGATTATTAGTCTTACACTTTTAATAATTTCCAATCATTTGGGAGGCTTCTGTCTGATGCGTTACTGGACAGTGCCTGCATTTTATTTGGAAATCTACTACCTACTCAAACTCACTGTAGCTTGCTGTGGCCTGTGGAGATGGTTCATCTGAAATTGAGATTGTTGTTAAGTTTGGGAGTGGAACTATCTTTTGAAGTCTCCGAAACTGATCTGCATTCTGCACATTTTAAAAGGAGCAATATTTGAGTTTTGTTATGTTGTGTGTTACATATGGATTGTTCCGATCTCACCCTACTTAAGTTTCAGCATGCAGCCTGTCTAGATTTGGACACATCAACATCTTTCTTTGGTGTTTATGATGGCCATGGAGGTTAGCTTCTGTCCTTTGAGCAGCATCTCTCTCTATTTTACCATCAATTATTTGTTGATTGATATGTACTACCACTTCTGTGATGCCTTTTTTTTTTTCTCCCCCCTACAAATTCTATTAAAATGCAGGTAAAGCAGTTTCTAAGTTCTGTGCCAAGTACCTTCACCGACAGGTGCTCAAGCACGAATCATACATGGCTGGAGATGTGGGAACTTCATTACAGAAGTCCTTTCTCAGGTTATTAGTCCGCTGGCTTTGTTTTAGTCTACCCAGTATTTTAGATGGTTATAGTCATTGTCCTGGATTAAGTAGGGGGAAATCTCTTTATTTTATGGATCACGATGAAATAACTAGTGCATCATGTTTGTTTGGGCTTTCTACTGTCATAGTCGTTGACAGTTTTATAGTTGTGGATTTCATTTGATGCACTACTTATTTGTGATCATTTGGTAACAAAGATTAATTAAATTGAAATAAATAGGGGCACAGTCTCCAAATCCTGATATAATGTGGTTCTTGCTTCCCCTCTTCCACCCTTGTTGGTTGAAAGACCCGATTTTGTAGAAAATGCAAAGCCTGACTCCTTATTTTGACAATCTTAAATGATGCAGAATGGATGAGATGATGCTTGGACAGAGGGGATGGAGAGAGTTAGCTGTTTTGGGAGACAAAATGGACAAGATTTCTGGTATGATAGAAGGATTTATATGGTCGCCCAAGAGTAGCGAAGCTAACAACCAAGTGGACGATTGGCCTGCGGAGGAGGTATTTTTATGCACAATTCCCGGTTGCTATGGTGGATTTACTTTCCTTTTCTGTTTTGAGGTGGACATGCGTTTGTAGAAGAGGTAGTCCCCCTCTTTCCTCTGTGTCCAGTTGGATGCAATTTGCAGTTTACTAACTGTATTTCTTTAGCATTGATTTAGTCTTGCGTTAAATTTTGCTATGAAACAATTGTACATATATTGTTGGGCATGGATTCAATTAAAGTGAGGAGGTGATATTGCTAACTAGGGACCTCACTCTGACTTTCATGGACCAAATGCTGGAAGCACAGCTTGTGTTGCAATCATTCGAAATAACCAGCTTGTGGTAGCAAATGCTGGTGATTCTCGCTGTGTCATTTCCAGAAAGGGCCAGGTATTTCTATCAGAAAGACATCTCTCATTTGATTTACATGTGCTTAACAGTGACATATATCTTCCTGACTAGGAGTGTGAATACAGTAACCAATTGAAGTATTATCATAAAACCGATTAGAGGTTTTGAAAAGTAATAAGAAGTCTGAAGATATAACCGATTGGATGTGTAAATATGTGATCGTTAGCATATCCTTATTTATTTCAACTATTTTTGTTCTCATTTCCCTTGCCCCAACTTATTTCGTTTTACTTTATCTGAATATTGGTCTTGTTAGATGAATAGACGGTTAAATTTCTATGTCAGTTTGGTTTAATGTCGTTGAATTCGGAGGGAGGTGAGTTGGGATAGGCAGACTATTGGATATGCTAACTGGAGAGATGATGACTAACTCTCAATTTCTGTTCCACTGCTTCTTAATCAGATTGCTCTGAAATTTCTTGCCGGAAATACAAGTAATTTAACTCTGATTAGTGAATTTGCATAACAGGCTGTGAGTGAAGAATCATTAAATGTATATGAATATAACAATTCTGATAGTATTACCGAAATATGATTCCCTTAATGTCATGAAAAGCACCACAAATTAGGCAGAATAATTTGAATAATCGAGATATTTTCATGGGCGTCTAGTGCTCCGCCTAACATCTTCTTTGCAGGCATATAATCTATCTAAAGATCACAAGCCTGATCTTGAGGTTGAGAAGGACAGGATTCTGAAAGCTGGTGGTTTCATCCGAGTTGGTCGTGTCAATGGAAGTCTCAACTTGGCACGAGCTATAGGTGCATGCTATCTATGACTTAGTTCTAGATTGAAGTATAATTTGGGGAAAGCATGTGCCTAGGCTATGGGGGCATACTTTCACAGTCGTTCTAAATTTGGAATATAAATTGAGAATCTCCTTCCGTGGCTATTATTTATTTGGAACCTTGTTTTTACAGGAGACATGGAATTTAAGCAGAACAAAAGTATGCCTGCAGAAAAGCAGATTGTAACAGCCAACCCAGATGTAACAACTGTATGTGTTTAACGGCTTCAATACTTCCGCTAGGGTGTTAAATATTTATATGGTTCTTTTTAATTATTCTTATGCAGCAATTTTCTTGTTCAAGAACTCATCAGATAATTTTTTTCCTTATTCTTATAGTTTAACTGATACCATTTTGGAAGTAAATTATTAAATTTTGGGAATTTACATGATTGACATTAGTTTTGGTGGTAGTATATGATTTACTGAAGACTGAAACTAATTATTCTTGGAAGGATTTCATTATTTTCTTTTTAATCCCTTTCATTCCTTTCTCTTGATCTCTCTCTCTCTCTTTTTTTTTTCTTTTTTTTTTTTTTCTTTTCGTAATTAGGTTGAGCTTTGTGAGGATGACGAGTTTCTTGTAATTGCCTGTGATGGGATCTGGTAAGTTTGAGAATATATGCTTTTATGGGCTAAATAATCCCTCTAAAGTTCAAACCATTTAGCCCTTTGAATTATATCGCACAAGCACGCACCCGATCCCTATCTTCTGTAATGATGTGATGGAGCAATTTAATTGATGAAGTCTAATTGACTTGAAATAATTTATGCCTGGGATTTTAATAGTCCCACTTCTACTTGTACAAGCAGGAAAATTCAGCATTGTAGTTCTGAGACTTTCTAAACTGAGAACATTGATGTAGTATAGAAATATTGCTCTTCCTATGGAAGCAACCTATTCAATTGAGTATAATGTTATATGTGCATTTATTTGGTTTTATTGACCATCTCTCTCTGCACAGGGATTGCATGTCTAGCCAACAACTGGTCGACTACATTGGAGATCAACTAAAAACAGTAAGTTCGTGTTAAGACTTTTTATTAGTGGTTAAATGATAGGATCATACCGAGATTAATCGAGGTGCACGTAAGCTAGCATAGACACTATATACTGATTCCACTTTGTGTAAATATGCAGGAAAGCAAACTCTCAGTTATTTGCGAGAGAGTATTTGACAGATGTTTGGCACCTTCAGCTGGTGGTGAAGGATGTGACAACATGACCATGATCTTGGTTCAGTTTAAGAAACCCTTCAACCCAAATGCTGCTTCTGCTGAGGAGCTGCCTTCATCGTCCAATCAACTTAGATCTGATGATCCAAACGAAGGCTCTTCTAAAACCGAATAGACGATACGAATATACAACCAACGACACGGGCTCTCAGACCAGTGAGGAGTGGCGATTGATGCTGTTTTTAGATGAAGCTCACCAATCAGTTCGAGATCTACCAGTGAGTACATTGTTCTCATTAATGCACTTATTTTCCATTAGTTGATTGCTTGTCAAGGAGTGAACTTGTTTTGTATAGTAAATTTCTCTTTTGTGAATGCCTGACCACTCTCGTTTCTTTACTGCTAATTTTCATCTCGAGGGGATCGTTACCTGTGCTTGCATTTTCCCACGACGTTATGACTCATGTATGGAAAGTTGAAAAAATGAAGAACAAAAGGGCATAAATTGTATTTCTTCTTGAAAAGATTGAATGAACTTGATCTCGACCGATCATTTATCCTAAGCTCGATGGGTAAAGAACTCGTAGTCCTAAATTTTTGGTTGAGTTTGAGTCGAACTTTAAATTTTGTGTCTTTTGAAAATGTTCCATAGTTCTTTTCAATTTTGTGTTTAATTTTGATAGAGATTTCATATATTTACATTTTAGATCTTTTCATATCATGGTGGTGTGGTTCACACGTTCATCCACCTTTTCTCAATTTTGCTAAAAGTTTACTTTTTGTTTTTTTTTTTAATGATTATTCAATTAATCTTATTTTTCTTCCCTTTTCAATATTTTCGTTTAATTTAAACTGCAACTTATGATCATACTTAAAAAAAGTTTATAGATTCTTCAAAATTTATGTTATATTTAAAAAATGTCCTAACTTGACTTACCCAACCAATGAACATCTTTATATACTAACATGGTTAGATTGTTCGAGGTTGGTCACTCTCCTTTGCAATGATGGATCTTGAAATTTAGAATAAAGTTTAAATATTTCAAACAACGGGTCAGTCAGGTTAGATAATTTTTGGTTTGGGTCCATAGATGTTGAGATTGGTGGGAGAACTGGGAAAAATGGGATGATTTGAGTGGTGCTAACTTGTTCAAGGACAGGTACTATGGCATGGTCTTGTCAACCAAGCTAGCAGGGCTTGGACATGCAGTGTTTTTGTTTATGACAGCAGCCAGAGACAGGGTGAGCTACGTTTATCTAGACGTGAATGCAGCTGGAGCAGGGCTTTTTCTTGTCTCAAAACATTTAAACCAAATGCCTCTAATCTTTGATGCCTTCAAGGCTCATTTTCTTGATTTGGGTACCATGAGGCCCTATCGCAGCCTTCTCAGGTAGCCCATTCCTCAGCTCGACGTTTTGGTCTCGAGAAATTGAAGGAGGTTGTAGAGGAGAAGTACAAGAAAGCGGGTAACTAACCCCTCTGAACATGGTAGAAAATTTATGTTTAAACAGAGAATGGAAAGCGAGCCGAGAGAGATTTCTTTCTCGCCACCTAAACAGGGATAATGAAGAGTATTATATTCTCCAACTCCGTCCCACCCGTTCATTATATTGGATCATTGAGTTTGTTGAACACTCCTATAAGTGTACTTGGCTAGTTTAGAAAAATATAATTTGAAACATAAACAATTAAACCGTATCACGACCTTTGAGTTGATGATATATATTTTATATCATGTTATCTCACGATGTCCAATTCAAACATAGACGATAGATAACACACGTCGGTCGATGCTAGTTTTATCCTTATCCACGATGGCTAAACTAAAATGAAAGGGCATACTATCATATTCCATTCTTTTATCTTTTTAGGAAAATTGGATTGATTTGATTATTAATTTGTTTAATTAGACATAAATGGACAAAATTAGCTTGAAGGTTGATTTGATTACGACAAGTAATCTAATCCACCTTGGTTTAATCAAAATTATGAATAAAGTATAATTGTCATTTTATGAAATTGAAGCGAAGGTGACTATTTTTAATTTATAATAAGATAATGGTATGGTATAAATATATAATTCCCACATTTTTTTTTCTTAATTTTTTTTTTTAAAAGCATGTCAATTTTTATTTATAAATTATCTCCAACAAAATTATTAGGGGTACACAGATTGGATTGGATCGAGTTTGAAAATTTCTATGGACCAACTCAAAATTTTTTACCTGAACAACTCAAATAAAGTTCACAACCCAACCCAATTTAGTTAGATTATGTTGCCGAGTTATTCTTTTAAAAATTTTATTTATCCACCGTCATATTAATAATTAAAACTAACCTTTTATAATTTTAATATTTAGTACACAGTAACATTCTAATTACGGCAATCTTCTATGATTTATGTTAATAAAAATAAATAAAGAACATAATGATGGTCATATATTAATAAAATACTGTTATATGATATAATTACATATAATTAAGAATGATTTAATAATTAACTCAAAAGAAAAAAAAAAAAAAGCAAAGACTGATTTAATAATTCCAAGACACCAATGATAGCATGTTATATATTCTAAAAAAGTATTTTATTTTAACCCATTGGGTAAATATTCTTTTTTTTTAAAATATATTAAATTACAATGTTTATTAAATATCAATTTAATGGAGCGTTGGTTAAAAAATTAATTGATCTATTATATATAAATTTGATTTTATGTTTAATAAAATCGGTTAAAAAAAATACAAAATTGGCTAATTATAAATTTTTTAAATTGAAAATTAAATAAACATAAATAAAAAATAAAAAATAATATTAGATATTTTTTAAAATTTATGTAACTAAAAAGACTTAGGTACTCAATTTGTAATTTAATTTTTTTAATATTTTTAAAATGAATTATTATTTATTTATCCATTTAAAAAAACATGATTAATGCACCTATCAATTATCTGATAAATATTTGAAATTTATAAACTTCGATAGTATATTAAAAGATAAGAAATTTGATAATTATTTAATTTTTTAAATTATTATTATAAACACACTCTGTGTAATAGCTCAAACACACTGTTAATAAATATTATCCGTTTTTAACCGATGACCATGTAGACCGAAATCTGATACAATTTTTTTTTAAACAGGTATTACCCTTCTGCCAGTATTTGTATATATATACATTATATTTTTTTGTCCATGTTTATTTTTAAATTTTGTTCAAATTAACTGATTAACGCCTAAATTATTATATTTATAAGATTTTTATTTTTTTTGGGAAAACTATCCCATAATTTTCTAACATTTCTCAAAATTTACCATACTTATTCTTAATAAATGAACTAATTTTACAAATTCTTTAAAAATGTACAATTATTTATTAAATAAAGAATTGAAATATTTAAAGTGGAAAGATTTACGTTAAAAATTTCAAAATCTATTAAATACAATTAAACTAATTTTATTTATTACGTAATAATTCGAATTTTCAGACCAAAATTCGGATCTCAAAGGCATAGTTTAACCAAAATTACAGAGTTGATTTTGATAAGTTGAATAATTTTATCCAGCTCAACGCGCGCAGCCCCCACTGACGCTTACGTGTCAGTTGAGGAGTGGTCTGTCATTTCCCTTTCTGTCACCGTCTCTCTCTCGATTCGTTGCTTTCTCCAGCAGGAAAGTCGAACAAAAAATTTCCTGTAAGTAAACCCTAAAAACAATTTCGTTCCACTTTCCCTTATTTTCTTTCTCCCTCTCTCTTTCTCTCTCTAAATTCTCTCTCTTAGTTTCCCGTTTGATTTTCATACTCGCAAACACAATCATGGCCGTTCCGAATTTCTCATCATCCACTTCCAGATAAGTTTTTCGCTCTCTGAGCTTTTTTTTGTTCATCAATGTGGCTCCATTTCTCGGCCCCACCTAGGGTTCTGTCTCTTCCCTTCTCACAGTTCACTCCCCAACCCTACTGTTCAACTTCAAACCCATTTCCACCTTGTTGCCTCCAATGAACTAGTGGGATTCTCTTGTTTTTGCTTCTTTAATCTGAATCCTGGTTGATTTTTACGCCGCCCCAATTTTCGCTGAAATGTCAGGCCCTCCGAGAATCCGGTCTATGAATGTGGCGGATTCCGATTCCCGACCGGTACTTGGGCCTACCGGGAACAAAGCACGAACTGTAGAGACTAGAAAATCCGGGGTGAAGCCATTGAAGAAGCTTGAAAAGCCTCACCAAGAAGCTGAATCAAAGGACAAGAGGGTGCCATTGTCGCCGCCTCAATGTGTTACTACAGTGCCATCGGTTTTGAGGCAACAGGACCGTCACCAGGCGATTCTCACCCTCTCGATGAATGCATCGTGTTCTTCTGATGCATCGTCTGATTCGTTTAATAGTCGAGCATCTAGTGCTAGAGGTACGAGGCAGCGCGGTCCGAATTTGAGGAGAAAGTCTAGTAGTACGGTAAAGAGGGCTGAAAAGGCCGTTGAAAAGGTTGGTGCTGAAAGTGTGGTGGCGGCGACGAATACAGTCGGTTGCTTAGAACCCAAAAAACGATGCGCTTGGGTAACTTCTAATACAGGTACTGTGTGTTTAAATTGGTTGAATCTACTTGTTCATTCTACTCGGACCATTTTTTTAATGTTTGTTTCTGTTAGCCAAAAATAGTGTCTTATCTTATCAGCATTGCTCTTTAGTCAGTGATACGCATTGTCAAGTTGATTAGTATATGAGGGAATGGGTTTCATTATATCAATATGGGTTGTAGATCGATTCTGTTCATGGCCATAAAGAACTATAGTTATCAAATTTTGAGACTTTGAGTAAGCAATGTACAATTAAATCTTTGTTTTAGGTCTATTGAGTTCTAATTTGCGGTGGACTCTATCAGATTCTTTGCTATTCTTATCATTTAATTTTCATCATATTGAGTGTTTGATTTTCGCTTCATTTTTCGTCTTCCTCCTCATATCTGATATGGCTCCTCATTTTTCACCGTGCCCTGTATACTCTGGGAGAAATCATTAGGATTGACGGCCGTGATGTAGTTGCCACTTAGAAGATCTACACATTTTTGGATCCCTTGACCATGAGAATAGAGTGGATGCCTGAATAATTTGCCATACTCTAGTGGCCCTTCTCTACTTCTTCTCTCCATTCTTTTTTATATATGGTAGGAAACTTCAAACTGAAGGGGCTGATGTATGTGTTGTGTAGTTTTAGATCTTTTAAGTGACATTTTTTGTTAGTGAAGAGTGGTTGTAATGTAAGCATTGAATCCCATTTAGCTTCCAAACTTTGTTGAGCCCTTTATGTATCAAGATTTCATATTTCGATATTTATTTAACGAATGGTCTGCAAAATAGATTTATTGATTATCAGCGGCCCAAGAGTAGTTCAAGAAATACTATGGTAAATTATTTAATGTTTGATGAGAATTGTTCACATATTCCTCGACAAAACCGGGCAAAAGTTATACTCAGAAGGGTGTGGACTATCAAATTTGACAAAATGCATAAATATCAAATTATCTTGCTCATGCTCTTGATTCTTAAGCAGATGCATTATGCGATTTACAAATAGTCACCTCTCCTCTCTATCTTAGTGACTTTTCCACCTATGCTTTGGTAACCAACTACTTGTTTGTGAGTCGCTTCATCGTTTATTTTCTTGAGGCTACCTATATCTCATTCAGACTTTAGAGTATTAGCTTTATCTTTCTAAGAACTGTTCAAGTTTGGCTGGGGCTCTAAAGCAGGATTGTTTTTCCTTCTTTGCTAGATCCATGTTATGCTGCTTTTCATGATGAAGAATGGGGAGTTCCAGTTCACGATGATAAGTGCGTAACTATATGATGAAGTTTCAGATTTCTTATTTCAATCCTTGCATCAATCTGCATTCATCAACTTTTCCTTTTAATCTCTAAAAAGATCGCCACTTGCAGAAAATTGTTCGAACTGCTTTGCCTATCGGGTGCTTTAGCTGAACTTACGTGGCCTACCATCCTCAAAAAAAGACATCTATTTAGGTATCACTTTACTGCTGAGTTTGTTATTATTTCAGAAGTGAGTGTAGTATCGTTATATTATTGGCGTTTGGCTGGTTCTTAATATGATATTTCCAAATTGATATCTGTTATTATTATTATTTTTTTTGACTTAACCTTGTATAATGTGTACTTAAGGGAAACCTTCTTGGACTTTGATCCAAATGCTGTTTCAAAATTAAACGAGAAAAAGATGGTTGCACCTGGAAGTGCTGCTACCTCTTTACTGTCAGAACCCAAGGTGCGAGCTATCATTGAAAATGGTCGTCAAATGTGCAAGGTAGATGCTAACTCTCCTTAAACTTTGTTTATTCGTTTCTTATGTTGCATAAAACGGATGTATGGCCTGTGCTGAATCTGAATGCGCTCTGTTTGAGAACTCGTCTTGTCTTGCACCTATACACCCAAAGATTTATACCTTATCATATATTTTTTTTCTTTCCATTGCAATGCTTGTCATTGTTGGGTTTGGTTTCTTTAATTTGTTTATGTGTAATGGTTACCCTGTCTAATCTCAAACCAATCAAAGGAGAGAGAGAGGGAGGGAGGGAGAAGAAATGACTGACTCTTATCTCTTCTTCATTGTGTTGTAGGTAATTGATGAATTTGGATCCTTCAACGTGTACGTTTGGAACTTTGTCAACCACAAACCTACCATCAGTCAATTCCGATATCCCCGGCAGGTTCCTGATAAGACGTCGAAAGCAGATGTGATTAGCAAGGATCTCGTAAAGAGAGGATTTCGAAGTGTGGGACCAACAGTCATCTACACATTCATGCAGGTGGCCGGGTTAACCAACGACCATCTCGTCAGTTGCTTTAGATTCCAAGAATGTATCGAGACAACAGAGAAAGGAGAAAGAGATGGTGACATCAAGCCTACTATCATCGAGAAAATACCAGAGGCTCTGAAAAACTTGGAACTATAAAGAAGAAGCCATGGTCGTCCTTGAACCTTGCCTCAGTGTAATTAACTTCCAGAGTTCTTTTCTTCTGCCTTTTTTGTAATGTCCTGTAAATTCCATGATGGGGTAAATGTTAGCAATATTTTGTGTATAAACTGACTTGGATACAGAAGACAGCTAGAATCAGTTCTGTAAGTTTACTACTTTAAGCATGTGCTTGGTTATTGCATTTAGAATTACATTTTGAACCAGGACGCTGCTTCCTCTTTTAACTTCTAGCATCAGTTATCATTGTCGATATTCACTTGTTTTTGAGGAGGCATCCTTGGTGGACTGAAGTTTATACACTTTTTGTAGTTAAGAGCCTTATTTTTTCTTGTACTATTAGGTGACGTTGGGATCTTGATCGTCTCGTATGTGGCACTGCACGATAATGTTGAAGGTTGAAGGTAGGCCAAATGGCTGTTTGATTGATATTCAAATGTTGTGAATGTGAAAATTTAAGCCTTAATTTGTTTTGTATAGAAAATTGGCAATGAAGCAATTGTTTATCCTATTCTATTATTGTTCCTTTCCTCAACTTATTTGCAAAAGAATAAAGGAGAGCCTCTGTTATGAGTCTTCTTTTGTAGGTGGAAAGTAAAGGGGCCCTTTTTTATGACAAAATTTTAGTTTTTTTTTTTTTTTTTTTTTTTTTTTTTTTTTTTTTTTTTTTTTTTTTTTTTTTTTTTTTT